ATGTTATTTGTTATTGAAAAGAAAAGTGAGTTTTTAAAATATGGATCCATATTTATATTGGATGTTTTTGTTTTCCCGTGAAGTACATATATTGGAATTGATATTCTGGGATCAAGCTGATGGTAACATTGTTTTCCTTTTGTGATGGTTTGAAGGTAATAATAGTGATGGTTTGAAGATAATACTGATTCATATATTGGATATCATTGTTGAAAATTTATTAATAAATAAGCTATTGGAAAATTTGAAGATATTTTGTCAAACTTCTCAAGGGCTTTGTGAAACTTATCCTAACTTTTACCTCAATATAAACCTTAATGTCCGCATAAAAGATTAATGAGTTAAGAGAAAGCATAAATTTTCTTAAAACACAAATTCTGAAATCCAAGTTCATGTATAATAAAGTATATCCAAACACAATATTTCAAATCTTTGATTTCAAATCTTTGATTTCAAATCTTTGATTTCAAATCCGCATAAAAATATAAACCTTAATGTCCGCATAAAAGATTGATGAGTTAAGAGAAAGCATAAATTTTCTTAAAACACAAATTCTGAAATCCAAGTTCATGTATAATAAAGTATATCCAAACACTATATTTCAAATCTTTGATTTCAAATCCTTGCATTTTGTAAAGATACCCAAACAAAAGATTCTATCAAATCATTGATTTCAAATCCTAGATTTAAAATCCTTTGATTTTAAATCAACATTCCAAATCCAAATCTTAGTTCCCAAACGCAGCCTAAGCATATTTAAATATTTAAAATTTCATGGATTATATATCTTTACTAATACTCCGCCTCCGCATCCAAGCCGCCTCCGCATCCCGCTCAGCCTCCTTCATTGTCTAGAGTTGTAAAATACATATATTTGATAAAAATACACATATTAAAAATACGACGACCATCAACGACGCCCGAACTCCTCTTCTCCTCCTCAATTTGGTATATCACTAAGGTGAATTCAAAACCCTAAGCCCTAATTTTTTTGATAAAATCCCTAATTTCTAGCATTTGTTGACTGAATTGATGAATCTTGAATATTTGTGCATATTTTTTTTTGAAAGATTAGCCGGTAGTTCCGTTAGCTTCACTGATTTGTTATTAAATCAACCAAATGAGGGATAATGGAAGATGTCATGGTATAGATTGCAAAATGTATTTCATGGCCTTGTCGTTGCTCTGGGTGGCTGGTGATAAACTTTAATTTCAGATGTTTTATGTTGCATTCTTATTTTAGTCCAGGATTGTAAAATGTATTTCATGGCCTCGTCGTTTGATTCGTGAAAATGAATTTCAAAGTTCCACAAAGAAGAACATACATGAGAACTAATATGTCCGTCTTTAAGTAGGCATGGAAAAAAATTCAATGCTAAATACTAAATATAATGGAAAATCGACTAAAACATGTGAGATTTATAGTTTTACAATTAAATTTAATAAAACCGGCCTTTTCTATTGTTTTTTCTTTAAGTTAAGAAGTTCTTATTATCATGCCACTTACTCATCAATGCATGCACATGCTTACATATGCTGAGAAACAAAGGATTACATTTAGAAATTCACAAAGGAAACAATGAAAACCTTACCTTATGCCAAATCCCTCACGTTCCTTCTCGATAAGACACTTGTGCGTGAAAGGTTTTATTGCATCAAGGACAATTAAAATACAATTGCAGGTTCCAGCAGTGTTGATCACCTGAATAACAAACTGACTATTTTCTCATACATGAATTATTTCTATGCATGCTAAAGTAAAGAAAGAGCACATACAGTAAACTAGAGGAACCATGACATGCTGACACATGATTCAATATCAAGCTTTATTATCATCCGACAGAAAGTATGAGCAGTCTTGTTCATTACTACATTGCAGAAATCAAGTAAAACTTCAAAGATTTGTCATTTCTGTACAACGGTGTTTGGCCACGTTATGTGAAATTTGTTTTTTTTCTTACATGAGGAAACCTTAAAAAGGAGGGTTTGATTACATGTGGCAATTTGACACATGGGTGTTTGTTATGCATTTGAAATCTATTCATGTGTCAATCATTATGAATAATTTAGTTAAACAAAAAAAAGTTATCAAAAAATATTTGTACGAAATTAATTACACTTTAAAATTCTAATGTTCCATTACCTTTACACTTAAATATCTTAATTTGTAAAAAGTAGCATAAAAATACCTTAAGTTATCATAAGTAGCACATTGCTACATTCTCTTAAATAGAATAAGTTATCAAAATTTGTAATCCCTTGATTTAAATGTTCAAATACGAATTTAATCTAAGACAAATTCCTTTTTTAAATCTAAGACACCAACATATAATCAGTTAAAGATCTAAATAAATTAAAATGTAAAACAAAACAACATATCCCATGATCCTCACACCTAATCATGCTATAAATATGTTAGCTAGGGCTAGGGTATGTGTAGTAGTGTAGTTTTACAGTTAAGCCCCATCATACTCTCAATTTTGCATGACACCCCGTATTAATTTCCTAAATGAACCAAGGCCCATGTCTATATATCATCTTAAAAAAGAAATTCTAATTGTAATTAGTTTTATTTAGAAGAAGCTGCAAAAATAAAAGGATCTCCATCAACGCTCTTTATAAATGCAAAAGAAATCCAAATTAATGATATTATGCATGCATCACAGAATTCGATAAGAGTACAATATAAGAAAACTATTCTTATTAACACAATTAAAACTAACTAAATTTTGTCAATATACAGACACTATTATACATTTAAAGCAAAGATAACTACTATTTTTAAATAGACTCGAGCCATGATTCTATGCTTGCAAAGGCTATAACAAGAAAGTAGATAAAGATCTTAATAAAGAGTCTGAATGATAAATGCCGCAGAATCACTGCTGAATTGGTACCAAGGTTAAGTAATATAACTTTTTTTATGACATGAGTATATTAAAATACTATATTGACATGTATTTAGAAATCTACAATGAAAACTACAGGTATGTAGTTAAAATTTTCGTGGAAAATGGCACAAACAATGCAAGGGTGACACTGTTTGATGCAGTAAAAACTCTTATTAGATGCATAGTAGAAGAATTCATTGCAGAAAAAGAAGAAGTAATTCCTAACTCTATTCAAGTAATAAGTTAGAAAATAAAAAAATTCATATATATATATAATATATATATATATATGAAATTAATCTTTGTTCTCATTGAAACAGAAAAATAATCAGAATCCATATTTTCAGAATTTTGTGTTGAACATCGAAAAGACATTCAAATTCCTGGTGAAGTTAGATGAGAAGAAAAAAATGAACGAGGCAAAGGAAATATAATAGCACAAGAAATCCAACTCCACACCGATATTACAATCAACGTAGATAATAACGACTATATTTTAGAATTATCCAGAAAAAAGATCTTACTTTTTTTATGTTTGCTTTTGAGATTGTGTATTATAAAACATGAGGTTATAATGTCCCTAATTGCTACACAATTCTGTTTTCAATGCAATAATAAATGTGATTTCTTTACTGCTAGAACTATAGTTCATAATAACGATTATGATATCCCAATTAAGTATATTGATTCCAGTTTAGGTTAAAATCCATTACGTAAATTTTTAATAATGTTTAAATAATAATTATAGCAAATCTAATAATTCAATTTTACATATTTGAACTCAAACTTAATCTGACTTATTTATAGTAATAAAATAAATATAAAATTAAATTGTTTTGGTATTTAACGATATGCACTGCACGTGCATATAAAAACTAGTTTAATCAAACGTCTTATTTTTTTATGACTGTGTTTGGTTGAATGAATAAGATTATTTATTGTATCATGAAAGATATAGAGTGATATGTCTATTTTTTTCAATGAGATAATGTCCAAATCTTTAAATTTTTTTTATCCACGCACTAACGCAAAATCAGTTGACTAAAAGGCAATGCAATAATTCTAGTTATAACAGTGGTCTAAATGGTCATAATCCCCTAAAACGAAACACTAGTTTGAACTATTTTCTAGTTAATCTGAATGTTAGTCCGTGCAAAAACAAACATTGGGTTGAAGTGTTGAACTAAAATAGTCCTAGCGCAATGTAGCCCAAGTATTATAGTTCAGGTAATACAACACCCTCTAGTTCTGAGATTAAAAAAAAACAAATGTGGCATAAAATAGTAAATTTTTTGAAAGAAAGTAGTAGATAACTTTTTTGTCTAGAAAAAATGGAGAAGAATTTCAAAAGTTTTCAAAAAATAAAAACAGAAATCGCCAAATGGAATTTCAGTTATATATGAAAAGATATCAATTGGTAGAGCCCTGATAGAGTAAAAACTCAAGAAACTTAAAAAAACATTGTTACCTAATTAACCTGTTAAAAATTTGATCGCAGGCTCACAAAGTGAACACACTGAATCACAAGCATAATTTAAAAGACAAAATAAGTAAGCTGATGCTTCCTGAGGAAAGTTCAGAGTTCATCCTTACAATTCAAAAGATGTCTTAGATATTTTGTCCTTTCTCTGTTTGGCAACAAAAAAAAAGTGTCTTATCTAAGAGCTTGTGTCTTATTGACTTGGTCAATAAGCTAGTAGAGCTGTTTGGTAACCAAAAATAGAAGGAGATTATTTTGGAGATTGTGTCTTTTGCAAGTAGCTTTTGGAAAGCTATCTCAAGTAGCGTTTGTCTTTGGGAAGGAGCTATCAATTTTTTTCTTCCGTTTTTGCCCCTAATAATTTTAATTTTATATTAATAATATTGCATGGCTTTTTTAGTCATTTAACAAATTTAAGCTAGTTGTACAGCTTCTTTTGCCAAACAGCTCTAGTCAATCAGCTAGCTACACAGCTATCAGCTTTCAGCTATAATTTCACAGCTTTCAACTAGCTTGATAGTTTTCAGCTATAATCTCGCAGCGTTCAGGTAGTTTTGCCAAACAGAGCCGGTGGTTCTGAGGATTTGTATTTGGCCCAGCTTTGTTACAAAGCCGGCCCATTTGCATGTCAAGGACTCGCCCACGACTCGATTCTGGCTCCTCTCTAATTTCTTGCCATCCAAAACCCTGTATCACTCTCAGGGACCCAAAAACCCTAGGTGGTCATCCTCGAACAATGGAGATGGAGATCAATCTGGAGAACTTGCCATTCGATCTCGACTTCCATCCTTCATCTCCCATCGTGGCCACGGGTCTCATCAATGGCCGTCTTCTCCTGTAAATATCTCAACCTTTTTTCCCTTAAAAAAATGAACGATACAATTTATTATTGCTCATTATTATTTTCGCAATCCAAGGAACTGATCTATCTGAATTTGACAGGCATCGCTACTCCGAAGATTTGCAGCTTCAAAGGTACAATCAAACATTTTTTTAATTTTCTCCCCAATTTAACTACTAAAACCCTGATTTCAATTTTTCGCTTTTTTAGATTGTTTAAGATTCGCGTGCATCGGAAATCATGCAGAGCTGTTCGATTTGTTAATTCTGGAAGTGGTAACGATCTCAGCTGAATTGAATTGCTAATGCTTTGTAATTTCTAATGTAAATTACACCCAACCCCCACGAACTTTTAGTGTTTTGTGATAAAGCCTCATGAACTTTCAAAATCACACTAAACCCCCATAACTTTTGGAGAAAACCCCCATGATCTTTAGGTAAATTACACTAAACCCTCATGAACTTTTGAAATGTCTTTTTATGTTTCTTTTTGGTTCTAATTTATGGGGGTTACCTACAAAACTCAGAAAGTTCGTGGGAGGGTTTTTCCGCAATTCCCCAAAGTTGTGTGTTGGGGGGGGGGGGTGATTTTGAAAGTTCATGAGGCTTTACCACAAAACAGTGAAAGTTCATGGGGTTTAGTTTAATTCACCCTAATGTCTATTTTTAATGAGATTATATATTTGCATGTATTTCAGTTATTCTTACAGCTTCTCCTGATCGTTCAATTCTTGCCACGGACGTGGAGACTGGAAAGGAGATTGCTCGCTTAGAAAAAGCTCATAGGTGAGCTGGGTTTTATCTTATTAAAATCTGAGATGTGAATCTTGGGCCCACTGTTAAAATTCTTTTGATCTCTTTGTAAAGGGCTGCTGTGAATCGGCTTGTAAATTTGACAGAGACCACGATTGCATCGGGAGATGATGAAGGTTGCATTAAGGTGAGTATGTGTATGGCTTCTTTGTAGCTTAACAGAATACATTGTTAGATGTCTATAATTACTCATACGAGTTGCCTGGAGGGACAGGGTTTTGATATGTTCGTTTGTTATATTACGCTCTCGTGCACTTGCTTAAATTATCCTCAATATTTGCTTCTACGCAACCCTTTTAAGTTATTTATTTGTCACTTATGTTTTTGATAAGGCAAGCTAAGTTTTGTTAGGATATTCTAGTTTTCCCTTTGAAATTTACTTATGACAAAATGTTTTGCTGCTCTTATGATTATAAATCCTTAATTCTAGGGTAATTAAATGTTGAAATATCTTGGTTAATAAAGATAGGTGGTCATATTTAGACAATTAACTTGATGATGTCAAAATAGTATATCTTTGCTAAAATTATTTGAAGCAAGAAACAAATATGCGGAAAATAACTATGAGTTGTTACTTAATTTGCAAACTTCATAGAAACATCATGGACGAGGGCTTGAATAACTAGATTGAGGATGCATGTAAGTTTCATTGTGATTAGATGAATGCTGGTTGACTGATAGTAAGGAGAAGGTGCAAGGCTGTTCTGCTTCATCTATGAAGTCTGCAGTTCAACATTACTAGTTATTGTCAGCTTATAATCATGTTGATCCATTCATTATGCAAATTGCATTCTAGCATTAGTAATTGATTGACATCTAAAGTTTTGTGCATGACTCATAAACATGACGAACTTGCTTTAAGGAGGTTGTGGTCGATATATCGCTTTTGTTTGCATATGATCAGAAAGGGGTGACTTGATGAAGTGGCAGATGAAGCAATTTTTTGAGCGTGGGAGTAATGTAATGCAATTATATTTCGCACATCTGCTATGCACATGCTAGAAAGATTTAAATAGAATTTTGATTGAGGACTGAAATATGTTTTCTGAGATAGAGGTTGATATATATATTTTATAACCGGGTGTTTGGTTTGCCTAATTTGTAGAAAGCGTGTGAAAACCCCCTGGCTGCTGTCCGAATGGAAATAAAATTGCAAACCAAGATTCCCATTACTTAGTTTGGTTCAATTGTTTTTTATAGAATGTTGTTTCTATAGACTAGAAAAAGTGTGTTTCTTGGAAAAACCCATTTTCTCTTGTGGGGAAATGGGCCAAAAGCTGAGACTTGACTTTATGTTCACATTAAAAAACGGACGCACTTCATTCCAAGCGGGTGTTTGGTTTGCCTAATTTGTAGAAAGCGTGTGAAAACCCCCCGGCTGCTGTCAGAATGGAAATAAAATTGCAAACCAAGATTCCCATTACATAGTTTGGTTCAATTGTTTTTTATAGAATGTTATTTCAATAGACTAGAAAAGTGTGTTTTCTGGAGAAACCCATTTTCTCTTGTGGGAAATGGGCCAAAAGCTGAGACTTGACTATATGTTCACATTAAAAAACGGACGCACTTCATTCCAAGCTCATGCCACATTTCTTCTGGTTGTTGAGAGGGAAAAACCCTAGGGTCACCCGCCCACCTTCCCATTTTCCAACTTGTGCTTCGAGTATTGATCATACAAGTTTTTGATTATCTAGACATTATTCTGATCTCATTTTGCTATTCATGCTGCTTGTTAACAGTATTGACCTTAATTGTGCCATTTGCTCATGGTTCTAATTGTGTTTGCTGCATCCCTTTAATATTGTTATGTTTATGATGGTTAAACATGTGCGTGCCTTTTTTTTAAATGTAAATTGGTGATATTTGGATTTTATTATTGGCAATGATGATGATACTTCTCTGAGCTTGCAATCTAAACTGCAATTTCAATGTTTAGATGATGCAATTTTTGATACAAATGCATCTTACATTGTAAGGGCCATGTTTAGTAGGTGAAGTAATCCATCATAATGATGCAATCTACATTATACATGTAATATTTAGGTGCGGCAATCCATTTTGATAATTTGACCTATTACTAAGCCCAATGTAAAGACATAAATTTTATTCTATTTCTATGTTTTGAGATCAATGAAGATGCATGTTGCTTAATTTTTACCTGCCTGTGGAGATAATTTATTTCAAATAATGATTCAATGTTGGCATAAGTTTTGCGATCATATTGTTGTGGTACATATCAAATCATTTGCAAATACATGGCATAGGCTTTACAACAAATAAAATGATACAAAATAATATTAAAAAATTACATAAAATTTGGAAGCTAAGGGTTGTTTCTCAACAACTTTCAAATCTTTTTTCTACTTCACTTTTGAAACATATTTATCACCAAGGTTGTTTTCACTGAGAAATGGGTTTTCTTGGTTGATAACTTGTCCTTCATTGAGCCCACACAAAGATATTACATTTTTTCTTTGGGTATTTTGCAACCCCCAATCATGCCTCCCTTCTTTCACTTGAAAAAGCCCCCTTTTGTTCTTTCCATACTTGCATATTTCACGAGTATTGGAAGCTTGCAATTGCACCAAACTATACCTCAAGGCCGTCTTTTTATAGCTTGTTGATGGAGCTGTTGTTTGCTATAAGGGTGTGAAATTGCCTTTCATTTGCCTCAAGGTCAAACTTCATGTGTTTTTTCTTACCAAACCAAACAAAAGAATAGGAAATTGCATTCTACTGGAGACCGAAATAAAAACATAACATACATTCTGAAGAAAGGCATGAAAACGTATGGAAAAGGGTTTTAAGCACCCTTTTCCATTTCCTATTTTTTCTTTTAGAGAATTAACCAAGCAACTTTTAAATTTTGAAATATATTAAAAAATAATTAGTTATGAATCTTAGCATTAATTAGATTTATGATCCTTAGGCCTAATCTCAGAGAGATTTCAAGGTGTATTCAGTGCATTCTACTGGATACATTTTGTAGGCCAATCTAGGGGTGGAAATGAACCAAATAATCAACAAATAGTTCGATAATTGTTCAATTAATTATTCGGTCATATTCGATTCGATAGTTCATTTACTACTAAACAAATATTTTTTAATATTCGAGTTTACTAACAAATAGAATTTAACTAGATGTATATTTGATTCATTTGTATATTAAATATTCGTTTGAATTTTGATTACAACTTATTATTTGTATTATTGCACATATGATGTCATATTTTTAACCCACTTACCATTTCTACTTAAGTTTTATATACTAAATTTAAAACTTAAATAATCTTAAATCTGTTTTCTAATTAAATTTTTAATTTAAATATATATACATCATATATTATAAAGGAATAATTTTTATTTATGAATTCTAATACTATTTGAAAATCAAATTATTTAGCAGAATAAATATACTTTATTATGCGATAAGTATTCATGAATATTTATCAAATACCAAGTATTCGAGTTCGAATTTGAAAAACTAGATATATGAATATTAAAGTCCACATTCGAATTCGATAATTTTAAACAAATACAAATACGAACACCTTAGTATTCGATTCGATTCGATCGTTTACCACCCCTCAATCTGATGCCATGAGATATAGGGTCGTCTGTTGTGAATATTTTGTCTCCATAAAATATTGTAGTCTTCATGTGTCATACTCTAGACACGGGGAGGAACATTGTAGGCAGAATATTCATGGAGTCAAAAAGAGAATACTCATATCCATGGAGTCAAGAAGAGAATGCAAATAATATGTAACCTATTTTATTGTTCATCCACAACTAGGCATAATATAAATATACATAGTACAGGTCTCATCTCATCAACACCAACATCACAGCAATATCGCAATGCGGAACCAGTAAAGAAGGTATAAATGTTCAATGTCCATAATCCACTGGAAAGGATGGTCTCCATGCCTTAAAAAAAAATAAGTACAAGTTATGGCTCAACTACGACTCTCAAATCTGGATAATAACTTCTTAATATAGAGTAGTCTTAAATAAATGCAGAAAAGACAAATAAGTCCATATAATATCTACAACAACAACTGCATGGCATGACTTCCTTGCTACCTGTTTGTTCAAGTAAACCTAATCCGCTGCAGACAAATTAACTTTATTTGAACATAAGGTTCATGAAAGAGTTAGACACAAGGATATGGTATCAAAGGTCTGCATGGAACGAAGGTTGGTTGCACAAATAATAATACCTTACAATAAAGAATCAATACATATGATTATAAACCTCAAAGAGAAATAAAGGTAGTGTTGTGCATGTAACATAAAATTAAAGAACATATAGATTAGAAATATTAATTATGTTATTATTTGGTTAAGCAAGAGAGAGAATCAACACACATAAGGTGGAAAATATAATGATAAAAAAATAAATGCGAGCAACCCTCTTTGGAGCATCCGTGCACCCACTTACCTCACCTTAAGCTGTGACGCTCCAATTACTTAACCCACCCACTTACCTCACCTTAAGCCATGACGCTCTAATTACTTAACCCACATCCCTGTGGTTATTTACCTTGTTGTACATGTAACATTATGCACTGGTCCCGCTCTTATGGCAACTTCACACAACCTAAGTAAGGCTAGAGGGATTCAACATAAGTCAGTGATCAGCGGACCTAGCTGAATCATGCCCTATAACTGCTTACATCGGGGTGCTTCCATAGCCTAGGAACCTGAAGCATGCCCTAGCACTAGCTACATGGGGCTACCTCCACAGCCTACTACATGTATAATGACTAAGATGTGATTCCTATGGTTTTATTGCACGCTCATCTTAACTGGGAACTCTATTTGCATTCACTCATTTACGAGTGATACTAATCATAATATGATAGTCGGCATTATATTTGGATGGTGAAACATCCTATGTGTTAGGGTATCGGTCTTTTAAGATGTCTACAACACCTCCAAAATTATTAAGACATTAGTATAATGTCATAAGATATGTGTATGGTCTGAAAAAGGACACCCTTCAGTCAGTTATGGTCAAAAGCCAAACCACTGGAAAAGCTCTAAATAGAGTATATTATGTAAAACAGTCAAAGTCAGCAGGCTGGATGAATATCCAGGCGGCTGAAAATCCAAAACCAGCTGGCTGGGTCTAGTGACCAGTCGACTCTGACAGATTTTTCCACTTTTGGGTTTCTGTCGAGCCAAAATCTGCCAGCTGGGGAAAATTCCAGCCACGCTCGTCGAGCTGCTACTGCTCGAACTCTGGCAATGCCACTTTTGGCCGATTCGCCTCCAGTCGTCTCGTACGCTTTGACATGTTTAGGGGACTATGTAGCACATCCTAAACTATGTTTCCAAGTCTAATGGCTGTGAGCCTGTGACTATAAGCAAAGAGATTTAAGGCTGAAAGAACCAGGAGAAGAATAAGCAAGGGAGAATCACTGGCTTGCATTGTGGGGTGGTTCCTTCTGCTGTCCCTCACGGCCGGCCTCTCCTGTAGAAGTCTTGCTCCAAGCGTTGATTTCAGAAAAAGAAGAAAAACTTTAGAATGAAAGGTGTATATATGAGGGCTGGACCAATTTGCAAATATTATTTCATTTACTCTAAAGCCCTTAGGGTTATATGTGCAAATCCCTTTAATATTTAGTCCAATCTCATGTTTAACTTATGAAATATGATATATTAAAGTTCTACTTTGGGAAATTTGACATCTCAAGTATTATGAAATTAACATTCTTGCAAATTTATACAATTTAATTTCATAAATATTGACGGAAAATCAAGGCCTTAAATCATATGTGGATATCTTAATCCCATTTCTAAGAGGTTGATGGATTAAGTGTTGTGATTTTGGAGTGGAATTTTTCATTGATTCATTATATTTTTATGAAATATTATGTGCGACATATGAAATTATGAACTACCAACAGGTCAAGCAGAGGCGTCTAGATTTATGAAGTTTATTTGTTGTCATCTTCCCCCTCATCTAGACTATTCATATTTGAGGAGATAAAAAAAATAGAGTTGTCACCTCTCTTTCTTTTGCTTAGTTTAGTAAAAATATGGCACTATGAGGAATAGTCGACAGCTGGCCATAAATTAATCAATCTTTGTATTGAACCCTCAAACTTGAGTTCGTATTTCATTGCTTTGCGTATTTTCTTGGAAGAAGGCCTATGATATCTGTTATGCTTTTGTGTCAGAAGGACCATGGCAAACGACAGACCGTTGTCTGCTTGGTTGACATTTTTTTTCATCGGACTATTTCCTTAACTCTTGGCCTGCATACTTCAATAAACCCAAAAAAAAAAAGTGGAACCTGTGTATACAGGGATACAGATAGATTTGAGTAACTGGATTATCTCAATGTAAATCCCATTTTGTATGCATATTCTGGCAACCATGGATTTTCGGTACCTGTCGGTTTAAAATATGGATACAAGTTTTGGTAATAGTCAGCGATGCCAAATATCCACATGGATATTAGAATGACTGGATATATATCTATAAGATCAGGAAAATGCATAAATTAACAAAGCCTATTCACTGTTGCGTTTTGCGAGATTATGTACATGAATGATATGATTTTATGTACTTTTCTTATTTTAGTGGCAATTAGCATATCCAATGAATGATGATATTTTATGTACTTATTTTAATGGCAAAAAGGAATAATGCTGGCCTCATTATTTTCTTTCTAGCTACTAGTAATATCCAATGGCATTTAATTAGTGGCCAAGTCAATCTGAGCCTGACATCCCTGTTCTTTCATGTAGTTAATTTGGTCAACTTTTTCAGGTTTGGGATACAAGGCAACGTGCTTGTTGCAATTCCTTTGAGGCTGATGAAGATCTTGTGTCAGAAACAACTTATATCTCAGATATGACTTACGTGCCTGATTCAATGCAACTGTTGGCGTCAAGGTAATCAATTAATCATGTTCTTTTCTCACTCCTTTCACCATTTCGTTGAATAAATGCTGATTCATATTTATGACATTATTTAATAATCATAATGTAGATAATAATCATAATGTATATCCTTCATGCTTCTTCCAATAAGGTTGCTGTCAATACAAGGAGCATGCATGTGAATGGAGTATCTGCCATTCTAAGACCTTAATAAGTAGAAGATCTGTCCAAAACGAAAACTGCTGGAGAAACATGAATTTGTTCTTGGTATTAGCAAGCTCTGGAATTTCTGATCCAAAACCCATAAATGCTAAACAAAACTCTGGTCGTGGTTAAGTTATATGCAAACACAGTTGTCGGAGTTAAGAACATATGCAAGAATCTTTTCTGACTTTACCCCTAATAACAGTTTTGAGTTGTGATCACGAATGGCTTCCTTCTATCTATGAGCCAAAGGCTGTCAGGCTTCTATGTCTAATATCATTTTGATACTCTTGATTAGAATGTTTAATTTCTTTTTAAGAGCTAATTTTTTTCATTACTAATCGATCACTTAGTGTGCACTTTTATGTATGTCCTTATGGAGTGTTATGTGTTCTGCAGTGGGGATGGGACGCTTTCTTTATGCAGTCTTCGGAAAAATAAGGTATAATACATTAGCTATGCTTGGACACCTGAAATGGTATATATATAGACATGTCCATGTGGCATGTGGATGCACCTGCCCGCACGCATGCGCGCACATACAGACACATCTCTTCATGTCGAGTGCATGATTTCTTTAATATGGTGTGAATTTACTGGTAGGTACAAACCCGATCAGAGTTTGCAGAAGATGCGTTGTTGTCTGTAGTCACCATGAAGGTAAGATTCATTGTTGCAGCTGAACTTGCTACTCATCATATGCACTGCAAAATATCATAATATCATCTGAAATCTAAGATGCACGTGCTTGTGCGTCTTGTTGAGATTTAACACTTGTTATGCGTTATATCAATATATTTCATACTTATATTTGAAATCATTATTTGACTCAAACTGAGCGTGTGATACATCAGTAGCTTACATTATTAATCTCAGTGATCGAGGAGGCTGTCAGTTTATTTTGATTCTAGTTAAAGGTCTTAATTGTCGTTCCTGCCAACTGTGACGTTTTTGAAAAGAAAAGGAGTGATTTTCTATAATTTAAATTAGGCTGCTTCATAATGAATGCTATTGAGTATTAAAATTTATGAATCAAATTAACTTTTACCTATCCAGTTTTAACTTCTTAACCTTTGTGATCTACATCATTGACTTTTCCTTAAGTAACTTATTCTAAATTGCTTTTTTGTTTGTCTATGCTACTTAGAATGGTCGAAAAGTTGTTTGTGGAGCAGAGTCCGGAGCTATGTTGCTGTATTCTTGGGGCCATTTGGAGGACTGCAGGTATGTTAATATGCACGCTCACAATATCCATTTTAGTGTCTGAACCAGCATGGATGTTTAGAGTTTACTATCTTACCACTTTACCAAGGTGTTATTGTACTTCCTGACCAGAACCATTTGACTGTCTTCCTTCCTTTTCAATTTATTCTCCTTTCATCACTTTGTCTTCTTGATATAGGGTATCCCTTTTGGCAATTGTATTGAATCCTATGACTTTAAATGTGTTTATGACAAGCTTAAAGCCTTAAACTGCCTAAACCGTTTGATGTAGTTCAGCATGGGGTTCATGTATACAGGTCATAAAATCATCACCTTTGTCATATAATTGTAATCTTCTTGGATATTACAGTATGTCATGATAGTATTATTGGAAACTATGAGGCAATTGATCTTATGATCATATCAATACGAGGCATTAACATGCAAAACAAATTGAGAAATCATAATTTAAGTTAACTTATATTATAAATTCTTTTTTCTTTCAAGTCATACCCTTTTTTTTCTTCTGTTGGAAGTATTTTGGCAGCTCGGACAATTATATGTTTTATCTCTTTTTTGGTGTCGTAACTGCTAATTTGAAGAAGTAGGCATGTTTTCGAAGGAGCATAAATCGCATTAGTGCGTGCTCCTTCCCAGTCATCTTTGCATGATTTTTGTACAGTTATGATACATTAATCACGTGTTAACTGGGACGTTGTTTACACTGCTAGTAAGAACAATAATGTTGAATTTTTGCCAACAAAACTTCAAATCGTAGTAATCGAACAGCAATAATACAATTACAAAAAATCTCGTGTTCATAGTTTATACTATGTTTAAGGCTGTAGTGGTACAAAGAAAAGGTAATGAGATACTAATGTTTTCAATTTTGTAATGTGGATATACTAATATGATGATAAACTATAATTCATAGATGCACTGATCCTGATACTAATAATCATGCATGTATTGTTCTTTACTATTTTTCTTTGAATCGGTATATACGTATGTTCTTTGTTGGTAATATAAGAACAAGTTACCAAATATTTATTCTCACGTAACTCTATATTTTTCCTTTGTATCATCAGTGATCGTTTTCTTGGGCACAGTCAGTCTGTTGATAAATTACTGAAGGTATGTGGTCCTCATTTTTTTCTGTGTCTTTTGGTTGTTTTTTAGTTGACATCCATTATATTGTTAATATTCTCTTTAATTGCCAGCTTGACGAAGACACTGTCATTTCTGGATCGGATGATGGATTAATCAGGTCTGCATCACTCTTCCTTGTTTTGCTACCAACCACCATAATGGAATGATATACACTTTCCCATAATCTACGTCACTTGTCACGTGTGTTCTAAGCGATATGTAAATGAGAGGGGAAAAAACCGCTGAAGAGAAAGTAGAATGTATTTGATCCGTTTATGTTAAAAATTCAAGTTGGAAAAAATTTCAGAATCTACAGCTCGAGAGTTCCTCTTGGGTTTTGAGTAATCAAGCAAAACATCCCTTGTTTTCTATTTTCTTTTGCTTTACCTCATTTTTCCTTCGATGAGCACATATTGATTTCAACATTTGTTCCCTTTAACTGATTATTTCCTGTCAATAGGTTGGTGGGTATCTTGCCGAATAAAATTATTCGGCCATTGGCTGAGCATGCAGAGTACCCAATTGAAGGTCTAGGTGCAATATCATAATCCTAGTGTTCGTTTCCATTGAAGGATCCTATCTACAGTATATATTTGGTGCATCTGGGTTAATTTTCCTTGTATTTTCTTGGCAGCATTTTCACATGACAGGAAATACCTTGGTAGTATTTCACATGATCAAATGTTAAAGGTGAGCATCTCTGAAATATCATGCTAGCACTTTTTTTTATTATAAAACTTTTCTTAATTTACGATTTTACTTTTCTGCTTTTATCATTGTCATTTGTTTGCATCATCCACCTAAATACAGCCATTTGAATTTAAAACCTTAGCAATTTGGTTGGCATTGTTTGACTTGGTAACTTTCTAATTTTATTTTTTAATTTTCCTTCTGGTTGATAGCTGGACAAGGTATCATACTGGGGGCATGTAGGATCTTCTACACTCAGAATAATAAAATTTTGATAGCATGACCTCAGATACATGCTTGCATGAAAAGAGGGAGGGGGTCTGTATATATTCCTCTAATTCTAGAATTTGCTTAATGAAACAGTTTTAGTAGATCCTCCAAGAATCTAAATAGGATACATCATATATTAAATCAAATGGTTAATTACAGAAAACCACCATGAACTTTTGGTGAGTTGTAGTAAACCCCTTTTATTACATTGAAGCACCCTGAACTTTAGGACTTGTTGTACATAACCCTCATGAACTATTTTATTTCACTAAAAATTTCACATGAAAATTTCTCATTTAATATCAAATTAGCACCATAGATTTTAATATCTCATGTGGCAAACATGTGCTAAAAAAAGATAAAAACAATTCCTTATTCCTTAAAAAATTACTTATTTTTTCTTTTCAATAAATTTTTTGGGACTAAGAGGTGAAGAAAATTTCTTCCTTTTTTTGTCTCGTGTTTACTAGTGACACATTAGAGTTGTTGATACTAATATGAAGTTTAAAAGATAGATTTTCAGGCAAAATTTAGTGAAATAAAACTGTTCATGGAGGTTATATGCAATAACTACTAAAGTTCAGAGCTTTAATCTAATAAAAAAAGTTGATGGGGGTTAATTGTGGCTCCCCAAAAGTTTGGGCTTTCCGTAAATAACCCTAAATCAAAATTTCATCATAACCTAATGAAAAGAATATAGGTTCTCCAAAGGGTTTTCTTTCTTTCCTTTATAAAATCAGTGCCTTATAGAGTTCATAGCTATGTCACTTGGATACTTCTAACCTAAAACCGTACCCGTATCTGTAGCCAATGTTTTAAAAAACTTCTGCCAATCGCCTAGGACTAGGCGGTATCTAGGCCGCCCGCCTAACGCCTAGGCAGTACCTAAGTTTCCACCTAGGTTTTGGGAGCACCTTGGGGAGCATAGTCTGTTTATGTAGATTGCATCTTTAAGCCTTGATCATGATGTTTTTTGTTGCAGCCTACGTCCTCCAAGTTCCTCCGGCCTCTAACTATGATACCTCTTCTACCTCCTTCGACCTTCAACATAACCTCCACCATTATCCAACTAACACCCGAACCGGGATACGTCTCTTGCTCGTCATGGGAGGGGACTCCATTTAGGATCCATGCACGTGCCGTAGTACGATCCTGCGTTGTTATCACATCTTTGTCTTCCCCTCTCCTCTTCTTTTGCTTGAGCTTGACATTGAACTTCGCAAACGCAAGATCCTTCAACCTCTTCGACTCCAATCAGTTTCTCTTCTTCATGTGAATCTTTAAAGAAGAACAAATTTGTACATTCATAAATGGATAACTTCATCTTATTAATTTTAGATATTTATGTAATTTATCCCCTTAAATGTGCTCCAGTTCCTCTCGTAGCTAGAACTGCTAGTGAGATTAAGAACCTTCATAGTCAAGTTTTACTGAAAGGGGCAATCGCCGCCATACATTTACCACCAACTAATTGCAAAGACATCGTCTCAGTTAAATCTGGAAGAAACCCAAACTCCTAACTGATCTCCTAATTTTCTTTTATCTTTCACAAGGGGCTTTCACGAGAATAGAGGTGGATGAAAACACCCAATTGCCACTAGGAAAGAACCCTAGAGGGGGGTGAATAGGGTTTATGCTAATCTAATCTGATTTTATGTCGATTAAAAACTTACTAACAATATATCCTACCAAATATGATATAAGCAAGATATGCGCAAGGATATTAAACTAAACAAGGGCAATACAAACATAAATAATATAGTGGATAAAATAAATAATGAGAGAATGACAATAAAGATGAACACAAATATAAATGCGCCAAGCCAAACTCAAACAAGCAATATGATCACGGAGTTCGGACATTCCGTCCTACGTCTGCGCTCCTAACTCCCGGGGAGAAATCCACTATCACACCGGGTTTTCTACATCACCCAAAAACATTTACACATCACACTCGGTTTTCTAGTTCACCGAAAACTTTATAATCTTACACTCTTACAATCCCATTTTACATCCTCTAAGTGTTGGTCTCTAGCCCGTGTCTTTCTCAAGTGTTAGAAATTATAACCTACCTCTAGGCATTACCACCTACCACACTCCACGACCCCGTCTATCACCACACACTTCTCTCGGTGTACAAGTATATTACAAAGTGTAACTTCACAATTAGGCACAAATACAATTGTTTGTTCTCTAATACAAGATGAGAACTAAGTGTAAGCCCACTCTCTAAGTCACACAATTCCCACAACTCAAATTATACAATGTATGAAAATACAATAAGCTCAATAGGTTGTGTGTGAACAAAGAGTATAATCAAAACAAACTAAACTCAATTATAAAAATCTAGCTTATAGAGATGATAATCAATAAACAATGTAAATATAAAGCTAGAAATTGAGTTTAGAAAAACTTCTCTAAAATGACAAGAGTAGGAGAGATGAATTGAAGCTCAAACACCAAGAATTGATCTCCACTTCCTCTTGTGAAAATCTCTTCACAAACGAACTTGAATCAAACACAAAAACAAACTTAAACATTATTTAAACTTGTTTAAAAACTTTCTTAATTACCCTCAGAAGTATGAGGGCATGAGGTATATATAGGCTCATGAAACAACCCAAAAAACCAAGAGAAAATATCACAAAAAAACAATAATGGCAACATGAAAATCTGGAAAAACTAGCCGTTATGCCGTCAGTCGACTGATTAGTCGACTGAAGAACTAATCGTTACAGGCCAGTAACACCTCATCAGTTGACTGATGAGCATGGTCAGTTGACTGATGACCTCATCAGTCGACTAAAACAAAACATAATTTTTTTGTTATCCAGACGATTTCTTTAGTCGACTGAACATATTCATGTTTTAATTTTAAACACTAGTCATACATTTTTAAAACATATATCCTACACTTCACATCCAAATTTTGAAACTCATTAGACATGGTTCAGGTTTCGAAATTATGTTTTGAAGTGTCGTTTGGACGTCTAGTTCAAAAACTAGTGATTTTCCAATTTATAATCCACATAATAAAATAAACATAAAACCGTTATAGGAATTATAATTCTTGTCCTTGTCCTCATATGAATTATTAATTTCAACATATAGTATACGTGTATATAAATATTTATATAGCCGTGTTATATCCTGCCTTTTACAAATTTGTTGTATCCCGTACCGACACCCGTACCCATGCAACATAGGTTCATAGTAATGAAATCAGGTATGCGTGGTACCATTATCAATGGGCACTCCTAGGTGTACGCATACATTTATACAAACATGTATTCAATATTTCAATTATATAACACATGTTTTAATTTACAACATTCTTTGTACACTTTATGAATGTCTATCCTACACTTCACATGCACTTTTGAAACTCGTTGGGCTTGGGTCGGATTCATTTCAGCTTGTACCCAGTTCAGAACTATGATTTTAGAGGAGCTTTTGGATATCAGGTTAAAAAATAAGCAATTTGCTAATTTATATATCTATATAATAAAAGAGAGATTAAAAAAATGAGTAGTTTGCTAATTTATATATCTATATAATCAAAGAGAATTTTTTATTAGAGTTTTCATTTTTATAAGATGTAAATGAAAAACATA